TGCCCACGTGAGTCCAGGCCCACGAGGCGATCGTCCTGGGATCACGCGCTAACAGAGATGACAGGCTTAGCGCGTGGATCTGTCTCGGATCGCGTGCTGTCAGCCGAATCTGCAGCGTGTTCCGCACCTTCTTTGTTTGTTTCCTCACACATAAAATCATAGTTTGGATTAGTAGAAATTGCAACAGAATCAGAATTTCCTTGGAATTTTTGCACATGATCAAGCTTAGTTAATTCACCCCCGTGATCAGAAGGTGCTTCAGAATCTGGTAGAAGTGCAATTTCAGCACGAAGTAAAGCTCCCACATTAGGATGAAGTTTGGCAAAAGGAAAGAGTGTCTCATCAAAAACAACATCGCGAGAAATATAGATGCGTCTGGTGGAAATTTCAAGGCACTGATACCATTTATGAAGATTGCTATAACCAAGAAAGACACACTGAGTGGATTGGAATTCAAGCTTATGATGGTTGTATGGACGCAAATTGGGGTAGCAAGCACACCCAAAACTTTTAAGATAGTTGTAGTTAGGTTTTTGATGATACAAGCGCTCTAATGGAGTAGAGTTACCAATGACTTTGCTAGGAAGCATATTGATAAGATAAGTGGTGGTAATAAAGGCTTCATCCTGATATTTGAGAGGCATGGAAGCATGAGCTAGGAGAGAGAGGCCAACTTCAACTATGTGGCGATGTTTGCGCTTAGTAGGGCCATTCTGTTGATGTGCATGAGGACACGACACATGATGAGCAATCCCAATGCTCTGGAAGAAAGAGTTGATTTTCTCATACTCCCCTCCCCAGTCACTTTGGACTGACAGAATTTTTCTATCAAATTGTCTTTCAACAAGTTTCTGAAATTCTTGGAAGATAGAAAACACTTCAGATTTATACTTGAGTAAATAAATCCAAGTAAACTTGTTGTAGTCATCAATGAAACTCACATAATATTTTTTTCTTCCAAAAGAATCTCTGGCATGGCCCCATACATCACTAAAAATAAGCTCTAAAGGAGCATGAGAGACACTATGAGACTTGGGATAAGGAACCTGATGACTCTTGGCACATTGACAAGCTTCACAAACAGAGTCACTAATGGAACTATGTGACAAAGGAAGATTGTCTTTATTAACTACTTGTTTCACTATGACTGAAGATGGATGTCTTAATCGTTGATGCCACCTTTCCAAGGAGGGTTCGATGACGGAGTAGACTTGACGACGCCAGCGACTAAGTGCTTCAGATGTGATGGGGTAGAGACCCCCAATGCATCTACCATGATGGAGAAGTTCCCTCGTTGCCCGATCCTTGATGAAAAAATAACGAGGGTGAGTTTCAAAAAAGACATTACTATCGATGGCTAAACGGGACATGGTCGCAAGGTTTTTATCTGCTTGTGGGACATGAAGAACATCCTTAAGAACGAGATCACGTTTAAGACTAGGGGTATTAATTGAAGCTTGACCAATGTGGCAAATGTCCATACCTCCTCCACTAGAAGTATGGATCCGATCGGCGTCATGGTACCTCTCGCGAAGAGCAAGTTGCTCTATTTCATTGGTGGCATGATCGGTGGCGCCAGAATCAACATACCAGACGCCATCTCCTCCTTGTTCGCGCATGGCAGCAGCAACATGGCGAGCCTCAGGGGCAAAGTTCTCATCATAGCGATGCCAGCAATCCATGACCTCATGGCCAGATTTCTTGCAGAGCTGGCAACGGGGGCGAGGACGCGAGGCGGGAGGACAGCAACTATTGTTGGAGCTGAAGCCGCCGCCGCTGCTGTTGGGGTTGTTGTAGCCGCCCCCGTTGTTGTAGCCGTAGCTCCCACCAGAGTGAGTGTCGTCGCTATGAGGGGCGCCGCGTTCGCATCCGCCGCCACGGTTCTGCCCCTGGTGACCACGCCCACGGCCGTGGCCACGAGCAGCAGAGTTGGCAGACGACTGTCGTAGGTCGCCGCCATGAAGGAGGGTACGCGGGCGTCAAAGCTCAGCAGCTGGTTGTACAGCTCTTCGACGGTGATGGGTTCCACTCGAGCATCAAGTGCGGACACGACCGGATTGTACTCCATGTCCAAGCCAGCGAGGATCTTGGAGACGATTTCCGAGTCGGAGAGGGCCGCGGCAGTGCATGCAACTTCATCCTGTCAAGAGATTCAACCATGATCATGTTACCTTTTTTTAGGTTGGTGAGCTCAATGCGGGTGTTGGTGGCTTGGACTTGGCTCTAGGAGGCGAACATGACGTGGATGGCGCTCCAGACTTCGACCAGCGTCTGTAACATTGCGACATGTGCGAGGATATCGCGGGAGAGAGATCCCATCAAATTCCCTTGAAGTTGTTGTTGTAGTGTATACCAGAGGGATCGAGCATAGTTGAAGATTTGTTCTTCCTTGCCATCCTTGGTGACGGTGAGGGTGGCCAGCGGTGGCGGGCTCTTCCCGTCGAGGTGGTGTTTCATCTGAGCGCCTTTGATATGAGGCAACACAATGGCCTTCCATAAGAGGAAGTTTCCCCTCGTGATCTTCTCCTGTGGTGGCGATCCGAGAGACCCCGCGGTAGTGCTGGACGAAGATGGTGCGAAGGCGGAGGACGAGGTGGTGGTGAACACGCCCGAAGTGCCGGACAGCGATGTGGCGGCAGTGGTGGACATGATCTCGGTCGAGGGAGGAAGCTTGACGCGATTTTTGGGAGCTAGTTAGATGCGATCTTTGATCTATGAGGAAGAGGCTCTAACTACCATGTAAAATAGGTTGGAAGTGTTGAACCCATTGTCTCGGGCCGCATTGGTATATATATGGCAATATTCTTGGCGTACAAGTTGTAGATCGAGAGAAGAAGTTGTTTACAAGAGATACGGGAGAGAAGAAGAGATAGAGAAGGAATACAAGTTTAAACGAGTCATATCTATATACAGTTGTAATTCTAACAGCCCTTGCACGAGTGGAGACGGGAGGTATGCGAGGTGATTATATGAGGTCAACTTCAACCTGCACTAAGCTTCTATCTAATCTCCTCTCTTCCATGTCTCTCTAATCTACACAACGGTGTGTCGATTCGAGGTAAGCTCTACACGAAAAAGATGTACCTCGATGCTATGGTTCCATTCAGGCGATCGGTTCGTAGTTTCATAGGCCGTAAGTTCTTAATTTTGTGTTCCCGTTTGGAGCTATTCTGGACGAATTTTGTCAGATTCGTCGCGCATGATCGATCATTTGAAATTTCCTTTGACGAGCAGCCTAATCTCGCAGTTCCGCACAACATTCGTGTTGTAAGTTTTCGGTTTCGACGATAGTAGCTTCATCTCTGTCTGAACAGCAGTCTACTGCACTGATGCCGCCATGTCGAGCTCCTGCGTCCTTTGCTCAGAGCCCTCCTATTCGTTCCTCTCGACACCGAAGTCCTTCCCCTTGATCTCATTGCCCACGTCCTACGACACTAGAGTTGTTTCCGGCGCCGCTCATCTCAGCCTATTCTCTGTCGTCCTCCTACTGCACTGACGCTGCAATGGCGCACACACTGTAATTCGCCACACCACGGACGGGGTCGATCATCTTGGCCTCCTCTCTCTCTCGCCCTACTACACTGGAGTCGTTTCTAGCATCAATCATCTCGGCCTCCTCTCTCGTCCACTGCACTGACGATACCATGACGCGAGCAATGCATTTTCCTCCTTTGTCGACTGTCTTTGCATGAACACCACAACTAGTTCGCCGACGGTATCGCTCGCCATGCTTGTCATGTCGGACACGGTGCCACAGCCACTACCCACCGCAGTCGCCATGGTCCGGCGCACACTGCATTTCTTCTCCCCCTTCCTCTACTAGTTCTTAACCCTGTGTGCTAAGTGCAAGTGCTAGCTCTTAATCATACTCCATGCGGGCAACCAAACAACGTGTAGTCTTATGCGCCAAGACAATGCAGTCAATCAAACAACGTGTCAAAGTTGATCACCTAATGCAGAAAGTCCATATGCAGGTAACCAAACAACTTGCAGATGTCGCATATGAGGCTGTTTTTTTGAGCCAGACTGAGTGGAGAAGGGTATGCAACCGAGGTACTATAGCCGACGGCAACCAAACACGTCCTAGTTCGCTCCCAGTTGATCATTGACCAGTGTGGTGCATTTGACCATTGCATTTTCAAAAAGTCCAAAAAATTAAATAATTGCAGCAAATTTATCAACTCTTCAAAGAGAACGGAGGATGTGGTGGCAAACCAAAGATATCGGAACCAGAAAGGAGATTGTCCTGCTGTCTTTGTTGTGTGTTCATACGGGGGAGACATTACAATTGTTATGTCTAACAAAATTAGCCTGCACATTTAGTGATTAACTTGTGGGTGGTTACTTCAGCTGACACAGTGGTTCTGACGTGTAGAAGTAGAACTGAACATCCTTCCTAATTTGTTTAGCTAGAATTTCCATAATGTTTACATCTGCCTTGCGTCACCACCAGTCAAAGTCTCGTGGCTGGTCTACCTATCTTGTTGATCAAGTTGATCTGATTCAATTTAGTACTCGATCCTGGATATAAAATTGTCTTCTAGAGACCCATGGGCACGAACGTCCAAAAACAAGTCGTCGCATTTTTCTTGCAGTAGAAGCTGATGACCGGTAAGCGTTCGAGCAAGACCAGTTTGCACTATAAATATCGGTCCGTGCGCGTGGCAAGAAACGTCCAACACCCAAACAAATTTTACACAGGAAAAATGGAGAGCACTCAGAGCAACAGCGTGAGGAACCATTTCATCCTGGTGCACGGCCTCTGCCACGGCGCGTGGTGCTGGTAAAAGGTGGTCGCGGCGCTTGAGGCAGCGGGGCACCGCGTCACGGCGGTCGACCTCGCCGCTTCTGGCGCCCACCCGGCGCGCGTCGACGAGGTGCACTCGTTCGAGGACTACTCGCGGCCGCTGCTCGACGTGGTGGCCGCGGCGCCGGAGGGTGACGGCGAGAGGCTGATTCTGGTCGGGCACAGCCATGGCGGGCTCAGCTTGGCGCTAGCCATGGAGAGGTTCCCCGGCAAGGTCGCCGCCGCCGTGTTCGCAGCCGCCGCGATGCCGTGCGTTGGCAAGCACATGGGCGTCCCCACCGAGGAGGTATGTCAAATGTGGATGGTTTTCTTTTTGTTATTCTCTGTTGAGCGTTGACCAAAACATCCACTCTGTACCAGTCCCCTAGGCATACAAGAAAAGGTACCCCTTTTCTATATAGAGTGGTCTATACCATGTCTTCTATCAAACATCCACGCTATGTATACTAGAAAATGCTACCCCATATCAAATTTTGTATATTTGACTATGTCGACTCTGTATCAAGTATCTAATACAAATTTGATATGCTTAGAATATGCAACTTTAACAAAAAGTTTCTGTTGTAAAATATGTATATTGCATAATAGTCCATAAAATTACAACACTATGAAGATATATTCCATGAACCTATACATGCTTTTCAAGTATCTAATACTAAAAAAATGATAAAGATAATCAAATTATAATGTTTGAAGAAATGTTATATGAACCATTTTTTGTTGGAATATAAAAGGTGGTCTCTGACTCTGTAACTCCAGTATTAATGTTAATTTTTATCTTATCTTGTGATTGATGCAATTAGTTCATGCGAAGATCATCATCGGAAGGACTACTCATGGACTGCAAGATGCTGCCAATCAGCAACAACCAGGGTGCAGGGGTTGCAATCATAGTGGGCCCAGACTTCTTAGCAGGCAAGTATTACCAGCAAAATCCACCTGAGGTGCACAACACAATTTAACATCCTATTGATCTCCCTTTAATGAACTAATCTTGGCAACATGATACCCCAAGAAAATATTCGCAAAAATGAATATACTAAATTAATTAACCCTTCGCCTTACCCGCTTTCAGTAGACCCATTATGTGATGCATTTCACAATGTTGATGCAGGATTTGGCCCTGGCAAAAATGTTGGTCAGGCCGGGAAACCAGTTCATTGACGATCCAATGATGAAGGATGCAAGCCTGCTCACCGACGACAACTACGGGTCGGTGAGGAAGGTATACGTGGTAGCCAAGGCTGATAGCTCCAGCACCGAGGAGATGCAGCATTGGATGGTGGTGTTAAGCCCCGGCACGGAGGTCGAGGAGATCGCCGGAGCTGACCATGCCATCATGAGCTCTAGGCCAAGGGAGCTCTGTGATGCCCTGGTCAAGATCGCCAACAGCTTATATACTTTCTGAAGTGTATGATATATATACCTGAAAGCAAATGTATGTGTGTACATGATTTTCATCTAAAAAATAAATATGTCTAGTGATACTATTAAATCAATGAAAATGATGTTAAGTAGTATTACCTTCGTCCTAAATTATTTGTCTTAAATTTGTCTGCATACGGATGTATCTAACACTAAAACATGTCTAAATACATTCGTATCTAGACAAATGCAAGACAAGTAATTTGGGACTGAGAGAGCAATACTTTTTTTCTATGAGTAAGTTCGACACAAATATGTCAAATATGCTTTTGATCATGATGGGATTGTTTACTGGAAACCATTCCAACAAAAGAAACTATGTGGAAGCCAGTTGTGGATGTTCCAAAAGATAGGATGCCGATATTGGCCGAACTTTTGGTCTGCGAAGCGGCCAGACTAGACCTGGCCATGGGCAGCCCGGCCCTGTCCACGCGCCGGGCTCAGGCCTAGATTTCAAGCCCGAAGGCCGGGCCCAGGCCCACCATATTAGTGCATTAACGAAGAGGCCCGCCCCGAGGCTTGAGGCCTGGTGGGCTTTTGCACTGGCGGGCCGAGCTTGGTCCTAATTTTTGGGCCCGACGCCCGGGCCGCGCCGGGCACGGGCCTGGTTTTTTCGCATCGGGCTTGGTTAGGCATGGTCCGAAGTCCAGCCCGGCCCGAGGGCTGGCCAGGTATAGGTCAGACCGAACGAAACGTTCGGTATGATCATTCCTCCTCGACGAATGATGTCTTTCGATAGGGAAACTCCCATAGCCTGAACGCCTCCTCAACGTCCCTGCAGGGCTTTTCCCTATAAAAAAAAATTGAAAAAAATCCTAGTAGTTAAACAAAAAGAAAAGCTGAGATTTTTTTCTATGACAAATAAAAGCCAGGTTTCTGTTGTGCTAAGAAATAAAACACCATCAACTTTAAAAACCAGCAAATTGCCATGCGTAAAAAGATTATTTTTTTGCCATGATGCAAAAGGCAAAGTCGTGGCAATTTCCATCGGTACATACATGGTGCCCAAAAAAATTTTGATTAATATTGTAAGGGTTTTTTGGTATGTATGTGAAGACAAAAAATGTCGATTGAAAATTGCTATACATGTAGAACACAAAAAAAGTGTACAAAAATGCTGTTAGGTAGTAATTGCGTGTTTTGATAAGTAAATTTACCATGGTCCCTTGAAGGCAGAAAATTCACTTGGTGACTCAGATTTTCCACTGATGTATATTAAATTTGCCAATGTCCACAAAAAATTACCATGGCAAAATGGAAATAAATTTTGCCATGAGCGCTTAAATTAAACTTGCCATGTATGTGAAAGTAAATTTCCATTGGTAAAATGAAGGTAAATTTGCTGTGGGAAAATTACAAAGTAAATATTGCATGGTTGAAAAGCAATGAAACAAGCCATGGTCCAAAAATAGTGAAAAGTTGCCTTGTTGTATAAACTATATTTGCCATTGTCCATAAAAGTAAAAAATGCCATGTCAAAAAATGAAAACTAAAAAAGTATGCCATGAGTGTTTAAAATTAAATTTGCCATGTATGATAAAGTAAAATTTCCATGGAAACATAGGTAAATTTGCCATGCAAAAGAAAAATGTAAATTTCCATGTGCAAAATGTCATGTTGGGTATGATAATTGTTAAAAAAATTGTCGTGCATGTAAAAACACACAAGAATTTGCCATGGTGTTTTTAATTATAATTGTCATGCTTTGTGTGAGAAAAAAATTGTCATGTATGTGTGCATGTAGTAAATTAACATCGTGTCGATGTAGTCATACCATATTGAATGATGTGGTTGATGTTGTCGTGATGATGCATGTTGATGGATGTACAACTAGCTAGTGCCGGCGGAAAATTTAGGCAACACAAGAAATAATAATAATAATACGAAAGAATAGCCATGTAACTAAGTATTTTCCATGGAAGGGTTTGAGAAAAAATACACATGCAACTAATTATTTTATATGGAAGGGTTTGAGAAAATAATATACATGCTAATAATGCAAAGTATACTAGCAAAAGAGCCGTTGTGTTGTAATGAGAGAAAAAAATACTACACGTCCCAAACACAATAATCTCTGAAGACCGCAAATAGGTCCACGTGCATCCCATCTGTGAAGCCGCAGATCCTCCTTCCCATCCTCATTGCCGGTGGCCTCAGTGCTGACACAAACTCAATGCATTTGGATAGCCAAGCTGAATTGAGAAGGTTATGCAATACAGCTACTGTGCACTACGGCAAACACGCCCTCAATTCATTCGTTCCAGGTTCGCTAGGTTCCTAGTTGAATGGTTGACCATTGACCACTGAAAAGTGGCACAGCTGACTGTTGACTTTTCAAAAAAAATTCACGAGTTTGAAAGAGTTTATGAATTTGAAAAAGATAAGTGAAAATGAAAGAATTCATAAATATCAAAAAAACATGAAAACTTTCAAAGGTTATAAATTAGAAAGCATATCATGGATTTGAAAAAAGTTCACCAATTTGAAAAAACAATCGTGAAATAAAAAGGTTCACGAATTTGAAAAAGCTCGCTGATTTAATGAAAGGTTCACAAAAATTGAGAAAAAATTGACAAATAGAAAAAAAAAGTTAGAATTTTTGAAGTAAAAGAAAAACACGAAGAAAATGAGAAAAGAAAAAAAAGCAGGTCCAGAAAACCAAGAAGAAAAAAAATCCATTCAAAGGCTTCCCAAAACCGGCTGGGATACTTCCTAAAACAGGGTCAATCTTTGCCGCTACAAGTGTCTTAGAGCAACTCCAGCAGACCCCGCAAAAACTTGACCCGCAAAACGCGTTTGCGGTTTGACGAAGATCGCGTTTGCGGGTCGAAAACTAGCGCAGCCGAACAGAAACCGTATCTAAAACTGCATAATCTCAAAAAACACTTTCGCGGGAGAAATTCCACCTCGTTGACGCGAGTAGTTCATCACATGCTACATAGATTTTACATGATCAACACACTACAAACATAGTTCATACTACATACTACGTTAAACTAGCACTAGAGGGGGTCGGATCTGACGGCGGCAAGGTCGCGGCAAAATGAACGACGCCGTGGAGGAGAAGAACGCTCACTCCTCGCCGGAGCTGCAGAGGTCGATGTACTTCGCGCCCTGCTCCTTGCGGATGCGGCGCCACTCCTCGTACTTCTCCTTGGCAGCGAGGTTGGCAGCGACCGCCTGCCGCCACTCGAGGTCTTCGAGCTGCTCGGCATGGCGGAGGCGCTCCTCCTCGCGCATGCTCTGCTCGGCCATGGCGGCCGCAACGGCGTCGACATCGACGTAGTCTTCCGGCCCGACGACTCCGCGGCGGCCGAGCGAAGCGGGCTCCTCGGGCTCCTCCTTGACGGGGACGAAGTCCGGCTCCTCCTCGTCCTCCGACCACTCCCTCTTCACCGGGAGAAGGCCCACACCGGAGGTGGAGGAGCTCCCGGCGTACGAAGACCTCGCGGAGGAGAAGGACGTGCGCCGGCGGTCATACTCCTCCACTCGCTCCGCCGGAAGCTCGGCGGCGACATGACGCGGTTTGTCCACCTCCGGGCCCCACGCTTCCTCGCACCGCTCGCGCTCCGGGTCTGCTAGAGTTGCTCTTAGATGGGCGTGCCCATTGCGATCAACGCAGGAGTGTTTACTCGTCGTTAGCTTGAGGACGACCCAAAAAACGGTGGAGCAGCTCGTTCGGTTCGCTCAGTTCACTCGTTCTCTAGTTCGCACCCAGTTGATCATTGACCAGTGTGGCGCATTTGACCATTGCATTTTCAAAAAAGTCCAAAAAATTCAATAATTGCAGCAAATTGATCAACTCTTCAAAGAGAACCGAGGATGTGGTGGCAAACCAAAGATATCGACACCAGAAAGGAGATTGTACCGCTGTCTTTGTTGTGTGTTCATACAGGGGAGACATTACAATTGTTATGTCTAACAAAATTAGCCTGCACATTTAGTGATTAACTTGTGGGTGGTTACTTCAGCTGACACAATGGCGCTGACGTGTAGAAGCAGAACTGGACATCCCTCCTAATTTGTTTAGCTCGAGTTTTCAATAATGTTTACATCTGCCTTGCGTCACCATCAGTCAAAGTCTCGTGGCTCGTCTACCTATCTTGTTGATCAAGTTGATCTGATGCAATTTAGTACCCCGAATATAAAATTGTCTTCTAGAGACCCATGGGCACGAATCCAAAAACAAGTCGTCACATTTTTCTTGCAGCAGAAGCTGCCAGCTGATAAGCGTTCGAGCAAGACCAATTTGCACTATAAATATCACTCCGTGCGGGCGGCAACAAACATCCAACACAAAACCAAACAAATTTTACACAGGAAATGGAGAGCACTCAGAGCAACAGCAGCAACAGCGTGAGGAACCATTTCATTCTGGTGCACGGCCTCTGCCACGGGGCCTGGTGTTGGTACAAGGTGGTCGCGGCGCTTGAGGCAGCGGGGCACCGCGTCACGGCGGTCCACCTCGCCGTTTCCGGCGCCCACCCGGCGTGCATCGACGAGGTGCACTCGTTCGAGGAGTACTCGCGGCCGCTGCTCGACGTGGTGGCCGCGGCGCCGGAGGGTGATGGCCAGAGGCCGATTCTGTTCGGGCACAGCCATGGCGGGCTCAGCTTGGCACTAGCCATGGAGAGGTTCCCCGGCAAGGTCGCCGCCGCCGTGTTCGCAGCCGCCGGGATGCCGTGTGTTGGCAAGCACATGGGCATCACCACCGAGGAGGTATGTCAATTGTTTATGGTTTTCTTTTTCTTATTGTCTGTTAATTGTATTTTTTCCTTCTTCTCTCTCTTTTTTTTCTGCAAAGAATCTCTGTTGAGTGTTGACCAAAACATCCAATATATGTATCAGTTCCCTATATGTTGGTGAGGCCAGCCGTGAAGCTCGTCTTAGTCGAATATACAAAATTTGATATATTTTCAATATAACTTTAACAACAAGTATCTAATGTGCATATTATATAATACTCCCTCCGCTCCTAAATATAAGCTTTTTATAGATTCCAATATAACTACATACGGAGTAAAATGAGTGAATCTATACTATAAACTACATCTATATACATCTGTATGTAGTTCATATTGAAATATCTTAAAAGACTTATATTTAGGACCGGATGGAATACTCAATAAAATTACAACACTACAAGAATATTACCTCCGTAGATTAGTTATCTTAGATTATTTCAGATACAGATGTATTTAACACTAAAACATGTCTAGATACATTGGTATCTAGACAAATTTAAGACAGCTAATATGAATCGGAGGGAGTACATTCAAAAATAAATATGTACTTGTTTTTCAACTATCTAATATTACATCCGTCCCAAATTAGTTATTTTAGAATTCTCTAGATACAGATGTATCTAAACACCTTGAGATACATCCGTATCTAGACAAATCTAAGACAGCTATTTCGGAACGGAATGAGTACTAATAACTGTTATAGGTAATCAAATTATAAATGTTTGAAGGAGGTTATATGAACCATTTTTGTTGTAACATAAAAGGTTGGTCTACGACTTTGTAACTCCAATATTAATGCTAATTTTATCTTATCTTGTGTTGATGCAATTAGTTCATGCGAAGAACATCATCTGGAAGGACTCATGGACTGCAAGATGCTGCCAATCAATAACAACCAGGTTGCAGGGGTTGCAATGATAATGGGCCCAGACTTCTTAGCACACAAGAACTACCAGCAAAGTTCACCTGAGGTGCATAACACGATTTAACATCCTATTGTTGTCTAAAAAAACATCATATTGATCTCCCATAATGAACTAATCTCAACAACACGATTCTCCAAAATATTCGCAAAAATAAATATACAAAATCAATTAACTCTTCGCCTTATCCACTTTTAGTAGACCCATTATGTGATTCAATTCACAATGTTGATGCAGGATTTGGCCCTGGCAAAAATGTTGGTGAGGCCGGGAAACCTGTTCATGGAGGATCCGGTGATGAAGAACGCAAGCCTACTCACCGATGACAACTACGGGTCGGTCAAGAAGGTATACGTGGTAGCCAAGGCTGATGGATCCAACACCGAGGAGATGTAGCGTTGGATGGTGGTGTTGAGCCCTGGCACGGAGGTCGAGGAGATCACCGGAGCTGACCACGCCATCATGAGCTCGAGGCCTAGGGAGCTCTGTGATGCTCTGGTCAAGATCGCCAACGGCTTAAATACTTGGTAAAGTGTGCAATATATATCCCTGGAAATCAATGTATGTGTGTATATGATTTTCTTGTAAAAAATAAATATGTTCAGTGATACTATTAAATCAATGGAAGCGATGTTAAGTAGTATTACATTTGTCCTAAATTACTTGTCTTCGATTTGTGTAGATACAAACGTATCTAACACTAAATGATGTCTAAATACATCTGTATCTAGACATATGCAAGACAAGTAATTCGACATGGAGAGAGCAGTACTTTTTTTCGGTGAGTAAGTTGGACACAAATATGTCACATATGCTTTTGATCGTGATGGGATTATTTACTAGAAATCATTCCAATAAAAGAAACTATGTGGAAGCCAGGTGTGGATGTTCCGAAAAGATAGGATGCCAATATTGACCAAACGTTCAGTCTGGGGAGGGGCCAGAACAAACGAATCGTTCGGTATGATCATTTCTCCCTGGCAAATGATTTCGTTCGATAGGAGAACCCCCACAGCCCGAACGCGTCCTCAACGCCCTTACGGGACTTTTCCCTTTAAAAACAAAATGGAAAAGCCCAGTAGTTAAATGACAAGAAAACCAGAGATTATTTCCTATGACAAATAAACCCAGTTTTTGTTGTGCTTAGAAATATAATGCCATCAACTTCTAAAACTAAAAAATTGCAATTGGTAAAAAGATTTTTTTTGCAATGATCCAAAAGGAAAAAGTCATGGCAATTTCCATCTGTACATACATGGTGCCAAAAAAATTCGACTAAAATTACAAGGTCTTTTTTAGTATGTAAGTGAAGACAAAAAAGGTGGGTTAAAAATTGCTTTACATGTATAACACAAAAAGTGTAAAAAAATTGTTGTTAAGTAGTAATTGATGTGTTTTGATAAAAAAATTGTTGTGTTTTGATAAGTAAATTTACCATGGTCCCATGAAGGCAGAAAATTCCCTTAATGACTCAAATTTGACACGGATGTATACTAAATTTGCCAATGTCCACAAAAATAAAATTGCCATGGAAATATAGAAATAAAATTTTCCATGAGCGCTTAAATGAGACTTGCAATGTATGTTGAAGTAAATTTCATTGGTAAAATGAAGGTAAATTTTCCATGGGACAGTTCAAAAGTAAAATGTGCCATGGTTGAAAAGCAATGAAACGTGCCATGGTCCAAAAAACAGTGGAAACTCGTCATGTTGTATAAACTATATTTGCCATTGTCCATAAAAGTAAAAATGCCGTGTCAAAAAATGAAAAGTAAAAAAATATGTGATGTGTGTTTAAAATTAAATTTGCCATGTATGATGAAGTAAAATTTCCATGGTAATATAGGTAAATTGTCCGTTCCATAAAAATATAAATTGCCATGTACAAAATGTAATGTTACGTATGATAATTGTTAAAAAAATTGCCATGCATGTCAAAACGCACAAAAAAAGTTGCCACGGCAAATGCATATTAATATTTTTCATGGTGTTTTAATTATAATTGTCATGCTTGTGAGAGATTTTTTTTGCCAAGTATGTATGCATGTAGTAAATTAACATCGTGTCGATGTAGTCATACCATCATAAATGATGAGGTTGATGTTGTCCTGATGACGCATGTTGATGCATGTACAACTAGCTAGTGTCATCACCAAAAAAAATTGCGCAAGCGGAAAATTTTCGCAATGAAAAAATAAGAGAAATAAGAAAGAATACCCATGCAACTAAGTATTTGATATGGAAGGGTTTGAGAAAAAAAATAAACATGCAACTAATTATTTTATATGGAAAGGTTTGAGAAAATAATACACATGCTAATAATATAAAATATACTAACAAAATAGCTCGTACGTTGCAATGAGAGAAAAAAAATACCACACGTCTCTAACACAATACACAATAACCATGACTGAATACCCCAAATAGGTCCACATGCATCCCATCTGTGTTGCCGCATATCCTCCTTCCATCCTCGTTGATGTTGGCCTCAATGTTGACACAAACTCAATGCATTTGAGTGTGCTCAATCCTATGGTCTCTCTCTCTCTCTCTCTCTCTCTCTCTCTCTCTCTCTCTCTCTCCCATAAGATGAGAAATATGTTTTCTTCCTGCTTGAGGTTTTGACCAGACGTGCATTTTTTGTTATAGATGATTTCTTTTCTCCCCAAAATTATTTTGTTGAGGTATGAAAAAAAAGACGGATCATGCGTGTTGATTAAGGTTGCACCCTGAATAACATTTTAAAAATGTTTAACATGTAAAACAACATTATATTCAAATTCTTCATAATTTTCTAATTAATTTCCATATATAACATGTAAAAATTAGAGTTAGCATTTAAAATATATGGATATATTTTCAAAGCATTTTAATCTGCCCCAAAAAACAGTATTTTCTAGATGGTTTGTGGGTTGTTAACCAAAATATGAGGGGGTTTTCTATAAAAAGCAAAAAGATTTTGGGGCTCACTGGAAATAGGACTGCCAGTTGACGAAGGTCGGACTTCAAACTAATGAAGCCATCAACCAGCTAGGATAAAATGGAGCTGAATTAAAAAGTCGAAAATTTGACTACAAGTATCGCGACCGCTACGGCGGTTATCGTGAAGAAGACAAGGCCCTCTTCTTCTCCCGTCGTGATGCCTTCGTCTCTGCGGCCGTGGTGGCACTCGACGCCGCCCAACACGTCACGAGGCTCACCTTGCGCCTCGAGTCCGAGGGCGAACACGACAAACTGGTCGACGAGTTCCTGCACAATGATGAAGACGGCCGGAGGTGGTCCGACCGGGACGACAGCGTGATCGCCGTCTTGCTCTCCCCCCGGGCTGTTTTGCCCGAAAGACCCCTGACTCTCATCTTGGTGCCTTGTAATTCAGAAGAACACATTTTTATGTGTGTTTTCTAGAAAAAAGGCATATATAGTAGTACTATGTCGTATTGAGAAATTGAAAAAGTGCGAAATCATCTTCTTTAGGTCTACTTCTAGAAGCACATCAACACCGGATTCCAGTGCCTAACCATGCTGCCAATGCCCAAGAATTATCCTTCAGGCTCCATCCTAGTTAGGTGAAACAGCAACATGTATAATCGATCTAATAGGCCCTGAAATCCACATTATTGTCTTATAAGAAAACATACACTTCTTTCCGTTTTCTTGTACGTGCTATTCAGCATGAAACCGGCATGGATTATTTCTTCCGACTTGCTTAAAATTGCGTTGTTTCTGGACAGTGAGAATAAAAAAGAATCAGAATTTTGCATGACTATAATTAGAATAAAAAAAGATTGTTGCGTTGCTTCTTCTCATATATAACTTGTTAGTTCCATGTAATACATTATTTCTCAATCTTGTTAAAGAAAAATGGTTATTTTTTCCTTGGTATGTCTTTGCTCATCTTGACAGTGCATTAATTTTCACTGGTTTTTGTTTCAATCTAAGATATGGAGTGATACCGTGCATATTGGACTTTGATATGTATAAATGAATGCTAGGTGTTTTTTTTTTGCAGTAGTGATACCGTGCTCACTGTAGCTGGTTGGCCTTCTTGTGATTCCTGGATCTCCCAGGTGGCTGGCAAGTAAGCTTTCCTTGAAGTGTTGATACCCGATTAGCCAATTATGGCCTAGTCAATAGTAGAAAGGTAGAAACACGTCTACGGCCTAGTCAATAGTAGAAAGGTAGAAACACTTCTACATATATACATGTATACACGCGCGCGCCCTCCTGATGCTTGATCTGGTAGTGGAGGACTGTTTACACACACACACACAGAAAGAGAGAGAGCCTTGAAATTCAAGTGCTTTCATGGGCCGCACAGCCACAAAACCCCAAGTGCTTTCATAGGTCGAGCTCATGCCGCCCTTCCGCCGCCTTGAGTACCTCGAGCTGGAAGGGGTGCATAGGGGGAGAGCCAAGACAGCAGCGGCAGCCATCGCAAACCTGCTCAGCTGTAGCAATGCACTCTGTGACCTCAGGATCAACCTCACCACGGATCATGAGGATGCCTACAAACAAGAACGGTACATTACTGAATTCTTGGAATGGAATTTCGATACGACCACGACAAGTCCATGGACCGTTTTGACCGTTGTCACGATTCCTTTTCTTCGGAAGGAGATGAAGAAACCATCAGTGTTACCTATGATGATGTACCTAAAATCCCTGGCTTGAGTCGACGCTCGTTCGAATGCTTGCAGAGCTCACTGAGGAGAGTGGCCTTGCAATTCTAGCCGAAGAAGTCCAACTTTCTCGGTATGAAGCTCATCAAATTCTTCGCTGAGAATGCAATGGTTCTCGAAGAAATGCACATCGATGCTGGAAACTGAAAGTTGTGCGAGCATGTGAATCACAGGATTGAAACATGGATCACCCATTCATCCAAAAGCAGAAACTTAGGAGGGCCAAGCTTTATGATCTTACCCCTCAAGAGATGACATTAATACACCATGTGGTTTCTAAGAAAGAATTTAAATTTTCCAGGAGCAATGCTAGATGTACGAGCGCATTTTTTTGAGCAAATGGTTTGTACGTATAGAGTACATTACTCCTCACATGTTCCTGGTGTCCATTGTCACTATAAAAAAATGCACTTCCGTGATGATACGTGTTTGTCACGGTAGGTCGCCTTTTTTGTCATGCATATACATCCATGACGATTTTATGACAGAATGAAGATAGTCATACCTGTGGTGTCGTAGAAGTGTTCCATGACATTACCAAAATTATCATCACGGAAGTGTCCACTTCCATGTCGATAAATCGCGCGTCACAGAAGTGCTTTCGTCAAGGGTAACGGACACGTGGCATCCACCATAACGGAACGCCGCTAAGCTATCGGATCCGGTTTTGGATCCGATAACCCGTTAACAGCCCCGACCAATGGGGATTTTCCACGTGTAAAATCATCATTGGCTGGAGGAAACACGTGTCGGCTCATTGTTGGGACAGATGTCATCCACTCATTGGACAGAAGGCGCCTATGATACGTCGACACGTGGCACGACCCAACAGAGGCCCATTCCTGTGAAAAG